GAATCTATGATCAAGAAGTGATCCTAGAGAAACCTACGTCAAGCATAACTCCAACACCGTGTTCACTTCCCGGACTCCGCCGAGAAGAGTCCATCACGGTTATACACGCGGTTGATGTATTTTAATTAAGGTCAACTTAAGGTTTTCTACAACCGGACATTAACAAATTCCCATCTGCCCATAACTACGGGCACGGCTTTCGAAAGTTCAAAACCCTGCAGGGGTGTCCCAACTTAGCCCATCACAAGCTCTCACGGTCAACGAAGGATATTCCTTCTCCCAAGACAATCCGATCAGACTCAGCATCCCGCTTACAAGACATCCTCGACAATGGTAAAACAAGTCCAGCAACACCGCCCGAATGTGCCGACAAATCCCGATAGGAGCTGCACATATCTCGTTCTCAGGGCACACTCAGTCTGTCCAAACTTCCAGTAGGCCAGCCCAGAGTTTCCCCTGGTGGCCACCGGCGGCTGACGAGGTGGACCAACACTCAGAGGAGCACTGGCCCGGGGGTTTAAATAAAGATGACCCTTGAGTCTGCAGAACCCAAGGGAAAGAAAAGGCTAGGTGGCGAATGGTAAAACCAATGTTGGGCATTGTTGGAGGAGTTTTATTCAAGGCAAACTGTCAAGGGGTTCCCATTATAACCCAACCGTGTAAGGAACGCAAAATCCAGGGACATAACATCGATGTGACAGAAACTAGGGCAGCAAGAGTGGAACAAAATACCAGGCATAAGGCCGAGCCTTCCACCCTTTACCAAGTATATAGATGCATTAATTAAATAAGAGATATTGTGATATCCCAACAAAATATCCATGATCCAACATGGAACAAGCTCCAATCTTCACCTGCAACTAACAACGCTATAAGAAGGGCTGAGCAAGCGGTAACATAGCCAAACAACGGTTTGCTAGGACAAGGTGGGTTAGCGGCTTGGCTTAACAATATGGGGGCATGATAAGCAAGTGGTAGGTATCGCAGCATAGGCATAGCAAAAGAGCGAGCAACTAGCAAGCAAAGATAGAAGTGATTTCGAGGGTATGGTCATCTTGCCTGAAATCCCGCAAGGAAGAAGAACGAGTCCATGAAGAAGTCAAACGGACGTAGATGAACGGATCCTCACAAACGCGACGTAATCGGAACCAACCCGAAGAAGCAACACCGGAAAGAAGCACACAACATAGTAAACAACCATCACATAAACATGGCATGATGCACAACCAAGTATGGTGCATGTCCGGTTTAAATATGCATGGCATGGAAAAGTGCACAAACAAAACTACAAATTAAGTGGACATCAATATGCAACGAGTTGCATATTGACGAAACACCACATGACTTATTTAGTTCTCTCTCGGTTATGTACCCAAAAATATTAAATGTTGTTAAGCATGTCAAGAGGTGAAACATAAAGGGATTATTTATCTAAACAATTTAAATGGGGCCGGATATAGCAAACAACAAATCCGGTAAATCCCCATATGCATTAGTAAATTAATGCAAACAACAATTTAAACCATCTTAATGTTGTTAACATGATGCGGATGACATGATCAAGTTTTTATGCAAGTATTATTAAAAGTTGACATGAGCGTGATGAGAGCATTTGTGTCACCGTGGTAGAAAGAAAGGTGTACCACGGCGACGAAACGGAAATGATGCCGCGACAACATTCCGATGATCCGGTAGCTCACGGGGATACCGGTGCAAAAGGAGTGGGTGCGAGTGTGTCATGCAAGAAGATGGGGTGATCCCGGTTACCGGGTTCCCACGGGTCGACGACGTGGCAACGAAGAGGAACAACTACCGTTCACGGGCGGATACAACATCCAAACATGCATCTCATACAACTCATGCATTCGTCCACGGGCGTTCGTTCTCAGCGGTTATACCTTCGAAGCGTGTGTTTCGAAGAGGACCGGTTCATAGAGGAAGTAGCCGTTCACGAGCCATTGAGGGAAGTAGTGGTACATGACGACGGTAGTGGTACACGTTTTCGTAGATGTTCTGGGTCGTCGGTAGAGGTACTTGTCGCATCGCCGGGCATATTCGTACCCGTTTCAAAGAGGAACTTGGCCTATCCATGTACTTGGCGTTTTGCAATCCCATGTCCAGGGTCGTCATGTAGTCGTTCATGCGTCGTGGAGGAACTTGACGTTCACGGGGTCCCGGTCTTGGCCATGGAGAGGGGCGCAACCCACGCAAGCAGGGGAGGCCGTGGTGGGTGCACTGGGCCTGCGTGTGCAAAGGTCGACGGAGCTGGGCCTGCTGGAGGAACGTTGCGAGGGGCACGCCTCGTGGTCCACTAAAAGGAGCAAGGGAGGTCGCTGCGGTCAACGGTACGGCGATCCCTCACTGGACTTGGCGCAGACGCGAACGAGGGCTTGAGGCGGCTGGCTCCGGGATGTAGGGCATGGAGGGAGGTGTTGATCCGGCCGTTTGACGGCGTCCCCGGTGAGAACCGAGTCGAGGCAGGGGTTCGGCGGCCATGAGATGGTCTCCTGTTACAGAGAACAAGAGAGATGAGAGGTGGAGGAGGGAAAGAGAAGGAAAAAGAGGCGCGAGGGAAGAGGTCTTGAAGGTCGCCGGCGTTGAGAGCTCCGATGAGCTGGTCCGGTGGCCTTGCGCGCGGCGGGCGCTGGTGCTCGAGGCGGCAAGGCAACCGGTGCTGGGGGCCCCGGCGAGCTCCGACCTGAACGAAGGGGACAGGCGGCGTGGTCTTCCTGCTAGGCGTGGAGGACGGTAGAAGCGGGGAACGGCGCCATGGAAGGTGGCTGGAGGAGGCGCGGTCGGGGACTAGCGCCGCAGAGGGAGGCGCGCGAGATCGAGAGGGGGAGATGGAGATGGGGAACGAGGGGTACGGGCGAGAGGAGGGGTCGAGCGAGGCAGGCGCTCTGCCTCCTGGCGGCGCGAGGGGAAGACAAGAGAGAGCGTGGTGAGGGGATAGGGTTAGAAGGGAGAGAGTGGGCCTAGGGTAGGATTAGGTGGGCCAAAAAGGCCGGCCCAGAAGAGAAGGGGCTGCGCCTGGATCCTGGCTGGGCTCTTTCTCTCTCTCACACTCTCTTCTCTTAACCAAAAAGAGAGAGAGAAAAAATAAATATAGATAGAAGAAGAAGAAAAAAAAATTAAGAGAGGGTTAGGGATGGAATTCGGGCACGGGGACAATTTTTACGGACTCGTAAAGATGTGCACGGTCCACGAAAATTAGGAGAGGCCTGATTGCAAGAATTTAATTCAAAGTCATTTGAATTTAATTCAAAGTCATTTGAATTTAATTCAAATGGTTTGAACAAGGACTAGGAATTAGAGGTGTCCAAAAATGTTCGGATTTTTGGTGGAGCTCCGGAAAATGATGAAAGAAATATAAGGCAAGGTTAGAGAGTCAACACTTGAAGAAGAAAACGGCCAAGGGATTTAATATGCAAGTGTGTTAAGGTGAATTCCAAATAAATGGAATATTTATAATAGCTCCATAAATATTAGGAGGATAATGTTATAAAGAGAAGTCACTCTTCCCTCGATTTAAATGGATCAAAGATCCACACAAGTTATTTAGTGGGTTTTAAGACGGGTTGCATATTGACATGATGACATGATGCAAGGCACATGATGCAAAGAGGAAAGCAACAAGCAAACAAAACACATGACGAAACCCGAAATCCATGGATGGCATCTGAATCTTCGGTCTTGGGGCGTCACAGCCTAACTCATGAGGTACTACCCCAACTGCCCTCTCCAGATATGCAGTTTCAATTCCTAGAACAGGTGTTGCAACAACGAGTGGTGCGTCGCACATCGAATTCTTTGGTGCAAGTATTGGTGAAGTGGAGCAACACTCCCGTGGAGATGGCAACATGGGAAGACAAGGTGCAACTCAAGCAAAAGTTTCCCAGAGCACCGGCTTGGGGGCAAGCTGTTTCTAACAGGGGAGGGATTGCCAGCAGCAACGGTCAAGGTGAAGAAGCTACAGATGATCAAGCACCAGGAGTGGGCCGGCCCAGAAGACAGCCTCGCCTGCCGGCTCGGCTGGCTGGCCCGGAATGAGCCCATGCGGGCAATGTACTTAAGCTTGTCGATAGCGCGTGAGTGGCTGGCGAACGACTGGCAGGAATAGCTACTTTCCTCTTTCGTGTTGTAACAGTTAAACCTCCTTCTCCCTCCTCTCCATGGATATGTGAATTGTAGCTCGAGCTGTGATAATGGAGGATAGTTGAGGAACTGTGTTTGAGTGCTAACATTGCCTCCCAAACATATTCCTCAAGTCGATGGGCATAAGTGCGCTGCTACCTGCTGCCTACCTGTGATTTAGATTTCATACAGTTGGCAAAAGATTTGACCGCGGTTTGTATGGAGAAGTATACAGGAGCAGGGGCCATTAGAAAACTGAACTGGGCCTCATTTGGTCTTCCAGTATGGTGGATGGATTATGGAGGGGCCACCGTTTGGTATTCCAGTACAGTGGGTGCGTGCCACACAACCTGATAGAAGAAATATTGGCTTAGGCGATCACATATAATTTTTCCGCAGACTTGCTTAGGTGGATGGTTGCACGTTGATTGACGATGCGGATAGCCTGCATATCAAGGGAAATAGGTTAGTGAAGATGAATTATTTTAGATAATATAGACAGACGTGCCATGCGTGGACCTTGAAGTGAGCACAGCTCGTTTATAAAATGGGCCGACCTGGGCCATGCCGTGCAGACACGTTTAATGGGGGCGGGCCGTGCTGGGTCGTGCCGGCCCATTTCGCCAGGTCTGGATAGAACTCCCTGAATTACACGCAAACTCATTTTTTCTGTGTCTCAATTTCATTTTTTTTTTCCTCCCAGCCTCCCCCTTTTTCCTCCCGTGCGCCTCGTCGTCCTCCTCTCGCTTCTCCTACCTTCCTTCTAGAAACCTCCCCTCCCCTCCCCCGAGATCTCCCGGCGCCACACAGCTGCTCCCTCCACCCCCCACCTCGGCCTCTCCTTCCCTCTCCGTGCTTGTGCGACGATGGATGAGTGGGTTCGCCAAGCAGAGGCGTGGGCGGGCCAAGCAGAGCACTGGATCCGCCAGCAACCCCCGGAGCAGATTTACGTCGCGGTCGCCGTGATTATTGTAACGATTCTGGTGCTGGTCGCAGGTGAAATGCCAAACCCCCCTGAGTCCCGCGGTATCGTGCTTGCTGTTAGGAAACCTAGGTAGATGTGGAAGGTAGTGACGGGGAACTGGCTTGAGTACGCTTTCAAATTTGCCTGGAAGCAATTTATGTGTGATAGTTGTCCCTTTTGTTTGACGTATTAACTAGCTGAGGATCTGGAGTGAGTGACCAATTTTGTAGTTAGCTGTAGTTATACTGACACTGGGTTCAAATGTGATTAAGCACAATCGATTCCGTGCCTTGGATCATGCGGAGAATTGTCGTACAGTTGTAATTCATAGTATTCTGTGATGGGCTGGTAATTTTGGAATTGAACTAACTTGAGTGGAAGCAGAGATACTGGAAGCTCCAGTTAAACTTCATGCTTCAGCTGATTATGGTACATGCTTTGCTGTGCATTACAAGTTGTAACAAGGTAGGAGTGATGCCCTGTTGATTCATCCATATTATTTGTGCATGTGCCTTGTAGAATGATAATACTGCCAGATGTTACAGTTAACAAGTTCTCAAATGTCAGGGCATCTGACAATGGCAATGACATTATAATATGCGTGGCACTAAAAAAAAGGAGGGACTAGTGTTTCTTAATCTAGAGATAAGTTATATTCAAAAGTGTGACATTATTACTCCTCGTTAATGTCTTAGTGTATATAATGGGTGCACCCAATGATGTAAAATGTCTTGCTGTATTCATTATGCTTGCTTAGGTTTCTGCTTTTGCGATGTATTATTTCATTGGTACTATTTGTGTAGTAATTAACACGCAGTTGCTTTGTATGTTTGATTGTTTAACAGCTTCTTGTCTGAAATCATCGAAACCTAACACCATAGTTCTATCCGGGCTTAGTGGCAGCGGCAAAACTGTTCTTTTCTATCAGGTATCATTCCAATTCTGTATGTGGTCCTCTTTCTTTTGTGCATCCCCTTATCTAGTGATACAACTTTTCAACTCCTCATGGATTAACATGATATCATAAAGTATGACGAGAGTAATGGCCATGCATGCCTTGCCTCACAAACTTGATTGCTGCTGTTTATCTCTGTGTTGTCAAGTTTTAGAAGTTAGGCATAACAGGTGTTACTCTGACAGAGGCCTTAATTTCAAAACTGACATCCGGTGTCTGATTTGCCAATGATTTTTTCGATATAGCATATGACATTTGTGAATTGACATGGATTTCAGTTTTCTGATTTGGTAAAAAAGATGGGGCATGTGTCTATGACTAACACCGAGAATGATGTTATGATATTCTGTTTGCAATTTGCTCTTGTATATGCTTCCTTTGACGCAATTTGTTCAGTAGCTTATGACATGGCCTTTTAGCTGAATTTCCACTCAGGTTGCGTTGGTGCCATACTGTTATCTGTCGTGCATCTCTTGCCTCGCCCCCTTGATTTTACTGTATATATGATTTTATATAGTGCATGCCTGCATGGCAAGATTTTGGAGAACAAAGACTACTTTTCATTTCCTTTTTTAGTTTTAGTTATCTTTCCAGTGGAGGAATTACACAGTTTCTTTGTATTATCTTTTGGTTTTGTGCTAATTTTCCATCTCTCGTTTTTAGCTTCGCGATGGATCATCACATCAGGGAACCGTGACTTCGATGACACATAACAATGCTACATTTGTTCTGCACTCGGAGCTGGAAAGGGTTAGAACTTTTTGGAGATGAATCCCTGCTACACCTTGATATTAATATAACTATGTAGAATCAAGGCTACCGTTTTCTTATAGAAACATATGTTTGCTGACTGCAAGATTTTTACTTACTTTGTTCCCTTCCACTCAACAGAAAGGCAAAGTAAAACCTGTTCATGTTATCGATGTTCCTGGTCATGCAAGGCTGAAATCGAAGCTTGATGAAGTCCTGCCTCAGGCAGCTGGGATTGTTTTTGTCGTGGATGCTCTAGATTTCTTGTCTAGCATGCAAGCTGCTGCGGAGTAATTTTGCTGACCTACTTTCTGTTATTTGGTGTTGTTTGGAAAATTTGATGGTGTCCAATTTCGCAAACTTTGATTGTCAACCCAATCATATGCTGTATTCAAACTAGGAGTGTGACTAGGACCTTATTTCATATTCAAACATGTATAAAAATGTTTGATCTGATGCAGTTCGTACCGCCTGACAGTTTTCTCTTTAACTCTCACGACAGGTACTTGTATGACATTTTGACGAAGGCAACTGTAGTGAAGAAAAGGATTCCTGTTCTGATATTCTGCAACAAGACAGATAAAGTTACAGCTCACTCAAAGGAGTTCATCAAGAAGCAGTTGGAGAAAGAAGTGTATGTTTCATTTTTCATATTCAACATTCTTGCATGGTTGGAACTTAGAATGCATCATCTTGGGTTGGCGTGTTTAATAATTCTGTGAATTTATAGGTATTGGCTAGATTAGTACTGTAACTTGAATGTATTTGTTTGTTTTTGTGTATATTATGCTGCAAAAAATGTTTACATACATGTATATTCTATCCATATTTCCGTGATCCTGGTACAGTTGAGGTCGCTCTGTAAATTCTGTGAATTATATGTATTGGCTAGATTAATAGTGCAGCTTGAATGAACTCGTTTGTTTTTTGTGTATATTATGCTGCCAAAAAAAATGCTTACATACATGTATATTCTACTGATATTTCCCTGATCCTGGAACATCGGAGGTCACTCTGTAACCACTCATATATCTTGAAACACCTGAGGGAGCATAACAGAACCATTTGCATTGACTGACTGACACAAACTTGTGCTATTTTTTTTTTTGTAGAAACAAGCTCCGGGAATCAAGGAACGCCATATCATCCGCTGACATCAGTGATGAAGTCCAACTTGGGTTACCTGGAGAGGCATTCAACTTCAGCCAGTGCCAGAACAAGGTGATAGTTGATGAAGGTGCTGGTCTGACTGGTGATGTTTCAGCAGTTGAGCAGTTCATCCGCGAGTATGTGAAGCCGTAGAGTCATCTTTCACCCCATCGTCATAGTAGTGACTAATGTTTCTGCAGAAGTGTAATCTGAGCTGTGACTAATTTTGGCCTGACGAAAGAAGGAAAAGTGGGAAACCATCAGCATGATCCCTTCCCATTAAATCTACTGTTGTCCTGACTTGACTTTGTGAGACATAGCAAATTGCATAGGTAGCTTCCTGACGAACGTTTGAGGATTCAGAACCTGATCTGTTATAGAAATATTGTTGAACATTAGTTGTTATGTACTACTCCCTCCGTCCCACAATATAAGACGGATTTGCAAGTTGTTTTAGCTTGCAAAAACATCTTACACTGTGGGCGGAGGGAGTAGGTTTTATTTCATTCTTGTCCCTAGTCACATCCTTTTTTGGGCAGGATAGTAGAACAGCTCGATGGTGTTCTTTGTGTGCCTCCCAGTCATCGTAATTAAAGAACAAATAGGTGCGAATCAATCAATGTATATTTCCTTGAGCCATGACTTGCGAGTCATCTACTGGCTAATTTGGAGCAGCTGCAATGCTATGAATTCAGAATTGTATGGTGTGGCTTCGTGCTTAACATTTATATGGACATGCCTGTGGAAAGTTTTGCTCTTGAACTACTGTTCCAATCAGATTAGCTGGAAGTTTTTGTGAATTTTGGTTTAATATACTTAAATTTGCAAATAATTTATACTTATACGCCGGAGATACGACGATTTTTTGGGGACGCTCAAGGACTTTTGCGGTTCGGGTGTTGTCTTTGGTGGTGGTTTTTTTAGCATCAGTACAGACACAAGCGCTCATATACACGCGCATACACTCATCCCTATGAACGCATACACGCACACCCTACCCCTATGAGCATCTCCGAGAGACTGAGCCGACATATCACTGTCCACCTAACCATCTCAACCACAGGTTGGTTCGCGTCTTTGATGGTGGTTAGAGTGTTGTTGTTGTTGCGAGTATTTCATCATTACAATAGGGTCTTTGTTTATATATTTTTTTTGTTCTTGGTTGTGTGCATCGTCTTTCGGTATCTTGTTGGTGCAGAGGCTGGATGTAATTGGTATCTTCGTGATATTAATATATTCCACTTTTAAAAAAGAGGTAAATACACCCGAAGTCATAGAACTTGCACACGATGGTCAGTTTGGTGCACAAACTTATAAAATACATGTTTCCGGTCATCAAACTTGTACAAGCGTTCATATACGATCACATTTCATGTACACGGACGTATTCATAGGCTATGTGGCATTCCAGTGTGGCCAAGGCCCATTGTCATTTGCTGTAGCATGTAGATTTGCAGAGAAGCCTTTGGCTTTTTTTATTTTTGTATTAAGCCTCTAAAAATAAAATGAAAAAATGTGGGGTCTTGAAGCTGCAACGTGTCCTAGTAGTCACACGGACAACCACCAAACTACTGATCATTCATGTCTATGTAGCATGACTAATTTCTGTATCATATAAACATTGACTGAAAATAATTTTTACAAGAAATGTAACACGGAAAAAATGAGCACCCTGGCTCGACCATGTGACCTTGTACTCAAGGTTAACTAACATTACCACCGACAACACAACACGTCCAGATGTAAGAAAACAATTTATATTCTTGTGTCTGTGACATTCAAAAAATATTTATGTGTTACAAAAAAGGTACGCAGCATTTTAAAAGTTTCAAAAACTTGTATTTGGAAAAATGTTAATCAACACAACACGTCCATATTAACATTTTTTCAAATACAAGTTTTGAAACTTATGTGTATTGAAACATATACTCCATGTGATACATATATGTTTTGATGTTTTAAATACTCCAGTATACATCTATGTTTTGATACACATATATTTTAAATACTCCAGTATACATCTATGTTTGGAGTATTTAAAAAATATATGCTTAATACTTTTTAAGTGTATGATTGGCATTTTTTTCAAATACAAGTTTTGAAAAGTTTTGAAACTTTTTTCAACTATGTTTTTAACATTTTCGGATGGTGCGAAACATTTTAAAGCTACACAAACTGTTTTATACATCGTATAGGCATTTAAAAATTGTCATGACCAGTTTTTTTGGAATGCATGAACATTTTTAAAATGCAACGTATCATTTTTAATTACACAAATGTGGTTTAGAATGTGTACTTTTTTTAAATGTCACACACCTTTTTTTGTAACACATAAACATTTATTAAATATCACAAACACAATAATATAATTTTTTTTCTTACATAGAACAAGAAGGAATAACAACATGAAAAATATTTGTCCCATTTGATATGTTGTGTTGTCGAAGCCCGGTGGTAATCTTAGTTAACGTTGACCACGAGGTCACATAGTCGAGCCATGGTGCTCCCTTTTTTGGGGTTACATTTCTTGCAAAATTGATTTTTCGGCCGTGTTTATATGATATAAAAACTATTCGTGATATCTAGACATGAATGGTCATTGGTTTGGCGGTTGTTAACCCAAGCCTAGTAGGGACACGTCCCTAGTTTGTAACCGAACCATCCCTTATTTTTCCATTTTATTTTAGGGGCTTTATACGTAAATAAAAAAATATTTTATTTCAGGGGCTTAATAATTTAAAAAATAGGTGCATAATACATAAATATAGAAAAAGCCTACAGATCTACCATGCGTGGTGGGCTTACAATGGGCCCTGGCCATGCTGGTATGCCACATAGGCCATAGATACATCTGCGTACATGGAATGCGACCGTATATGAACGTTTGTGCAAGTTTGATGACCAGAAACACATATTTTATAACTTTGTGCACCAAATTGACCGTCACGTGCAAGTTCTATGACTCCTGGTGTATTTACCTCTTAAAAAAACATCCCAAAGTCGAGTTATTCCAAAAAAAAATCAAGTTCACGTGAAGACTTACATTTAAGACCAGAGAATAATAATAAAATGCATAAAAAGGACAGAAAGGAAAAGGCCCACCACATTCGACTTGCTCTCCAAGCGAAGCAGCCCCGGGGATCCGCGGTCAGCGTTGAAAAGGGGACGGTGAGAAAAAAAAACAGAAGAGAAAGTGTTCAGCAACCTGAAGCAGAGGGGAAGGAACAAGAAAGGGAAACCCAGACCTGTGTAGAACCGCCACCTCGCCGCGAGGGAGTAAAGGAAGAAAAAAAAAATGCTCGCCCGCACCCTCGTCGCCCGCCTCCGCCCCCGCCTCGCCCCGTCGCTCGCCGGCCTCGGCGGCCGCGCGTCGGCGGGCGCCGCCGCCGCCGCCACCGACATCGTCGTCGACGAGGACGCGCCGCGGCCCCTCGGGCCGCCCGTGCCGGCCGGGGTCGGGGCCGCCGCCGTCGCGGCCACCGTGCCCACCGTCCTGCAGCCGCGCGTGCTCATCTACGACGGCGTCTGCCACCTCTGCCACCGCGGTGAGCGCACGCGGCCCAGCCCTAGGGCACACGCTCCTCGATTCCTCATTCCTGGGCACCATTTGGGCTCGAACCGTGGCCTGATTTGGGCCGAGCGATTCGCGTTCGACGGTACTGCTTTGCTGCGCCTGGGAATCGCTTGTGATGTTGAACTGTTCGCGGTTTTTGCAATGCAGGGGTGAAGTGGGTGTTCAGGACGGACAAGCACGCCAAGATCAGGTTCTGCTGCCTGCAGTCCAAGGCCGCGGAGCCGTACCTGAGGCTGGTGGGCATGGACCGGGAGGACGTGCTCCGCCGCGTTCTCTTCATCGAGGGCCCTGAGGCCTACTACGAGGGCTCCACTGGTTAGTATCCTCCTCCTTCAGATTCAGAGCAGGCTTTTCTTGGTAAGTGTGTCCTGTCAAGATTTTTCTGACAGGTTACTAGCAATGTGATGCTGAGGTGTTTTCATTTTTCGGTGCTGAGAATAGTAGCAGGTAGCTTCACCTGAGATGGAATTCTTGCTTTAAGGGTGAATTCCTGTCATTTTCTGCAGAATGCTAACACGAGTGCCACTTGAATCCTTAGAGTTGGTTTCTATTTCAGTTATCTACTAGTAGAGTATGAAATATGGTAGTATTTGTCATATCTAATGAATTAGGAGCCAATTACCTTGCCCTTCTTGTTGTTTCTTATGAGTCAGGGCACTTGCAGAATTAATCTTTCGATAGGCTTGTGAAGGATAGGGAAGCACCTTACCTATCATTGAACCCATCTATACTTCAGCTTGTTTTGCTGAACTTATTTATGCTATTGTTTGGCCCATCCCTTGGTCAACCAAACGTTATTGCAGTGTTAAACTGTTGTTGCAATTGTGTAAAATTTGAGATATGTAAATACTTAATTAATTTATTTTGTAGTTTAATCAGTCCTTGAGGCATCGGAAATCTGAAAGTATACAAATAGTTTCAGATTTCCATATGCTTGTTGCAAATTATAAACAAGAGCTATGTGGGATATTACTGCACTGAACTGAAAAACATACTCAGTTCAGCAAAAACAATTCGAGTACAATTATTCCATGGCAGTTGATCTCTTGGTTGTCATGGCACTGAACATTCTTAACATTTTTGGCTTGCAGCTGCGCTGAAAGTTGCATCATACCTGCCTCTTCCCTACTCGGCGCTGAGCTCCTTGCTGATCATCCCCGTCCCACTGCGTGACGCAGCCTACGATTACATTGCAAGGAATCGGTACGACTGGTTCGGCAAAGATGACAAGTGCCTGGTGATCAAGGACCGGGAGCTTCTCGAGCGTTTCATCGACAGGGAGGAAATGCTCGGTGGCGGTCCCAGCAACAGTTCTTATTGATCACAGCTGTTGCTGCCGCTGTTTGCTTCTCGGTAGGTGTAGGTAGAGGAGATGTAAGTAATCTTCACAATTATGTAGGTGATTGTGGTTAGTTTGACTTGAAGCCTGGAACTTGAGCTCCGTTTTCAGTAAGTAGCTAAAAGTGCTGGCTGGAATGCAGCATATATCGCAACATCGGTCAGATGTTCCCACTTTGCGTGCTAACTTTTAGATCCGGTTAACTTCCAAGGAAGGGGATAGTTTTTGGATCTGGATTATCTTACAGTGCAACAGGCTTTCAAATGCCCTGGGCTTGTCAACATTCTCACGATGTGCTTGTGACATTTTGCCTGCAACTTTACTCTGTATTAAGTACTTTGAAATGCATTTCTTTCTTGTTAAATTCCAGAAAAGCACCATCTTATATGGCCATGTAGTTGCAGAAAACCATGTCTCACAAAGAGAAATCACAAGTGTCCATTGTGAAGGCAAAGCGGTTGTGTATAACAAAATAGTTACAGACTTGTCCCTAGATTCATGTGCCACGACGAACATTCCAGCTACTGATCTACAATACAACACAGAACAACAAAATATATACGATCCCGCAAATCTACGTTTGCTGCACACAGGTTTGGAAACAGCTACCAGTGGGCCTGTGGTACAAAGGAGAACAAAACTACACAGGTCTGGGAAAGCTACATTCTTCTTCAGAGCTATAGATTTCGTTCATGAGGCTCCAAGTACGGGAACCCGAGTGTGTCGAACACATCCTTCTCCTCGTGGCAGTTAACTATAGCTTCTGATCTCCCCGCCTGTGAAATTCACGATAAACGATGAAATGCCGACAGAGAAATGAAGGAAGACAGAATTGTAATGACCGACGAACAAGTGTGTGTGCTTACGCGCTTTCCACCACTGCTCTGTGTAGCAAGATACAAACCAGTGTCATCAAGCACGTAGCCCTTGGATTCTGCTAGTATTCTCAATCTGCACGTTGTAATTGTACAAGTTATTCCAAAAGAATAAAGTCGGATTTTCATAACCATGGCATGACGTATGCATAGAGCTCGAATTTATACCGTCGATTTAGAACATCATTTCCAGTCCAGGCTAGCAGCCCGGATGCATACCTGTTCCTTGGGTATACCTGCCAACACCAAAAGGCAGACAGCGATACAAAATGAATTATGGTTTTCAGTTCCAAAAGAAACAAATCGTGCTAACTGAAGAATAAAAACGTCAATATAACTGAATGTATCCCTACTGGAATAGTGGAAGCGCTCCATACCTTGAGATCAATGCGATGCCGCAGCTCACGTCCAGGATATGTGCAAAGACCGAAATATGTGTCAACCCCGCTGTCAGTTCCCTGCATTTCAGACCTTCTTAACACACTTCTTCAGGAAGTTTAGAAAAGACCTTATCAGATACTATAATTTTTTACTTTTTTATCACCACATTGTTTTTTCGGATTATTACTTATATGCTATCTCTTCCATATAATATATCTTCCCAAATTCTGTGGAACTGGTGGCTACATACCTCAATACTGTTTATGCTGAAGATAAGATCCTCCCTTAAAAAATTAATGTCCTTCAGCCTCTGAACAAACTTCGGCAGGAAACCTACATGACTGCAAAGAATTGTAGAGTCGAATCACAACTTCTTGTACTACCAAACTGTAATTGCATAAATACGAATTGCCATCCTTATAGCGGAGAATATGTCATCAATCTAAACTTGCAAGTTACAAGAATGAGATAACAATGTTGTATAACTAAACTGCTCCTCAGACTGATTGTGAGGTTCTGTCTTATCCTCTTTTTTTATTTTCCTAGCTAGTGTTGAATTCAATAGAATATTATAGCTTACACTGAGTAGACCATAGTAGCATACATTCTCCCGATATGTAAATATAAAATCATTAGACAAGGTCTGTCCGGTTCTAAACCTGGTTGCACATGCTTTGAAGTATACCTTTTACCATCATCATGAGTAATTACAATATCCATGTCGCCGCAAGATGATTTTCCACGTCTGTATGATCCTCCGCATACAATTATCACCTTCAAATAATAATCACACATGACGAATTTAGAAATAACCATAGGAAATTGATTGGCCTTAACAGCTTATGTGTGTTCTGCACAAATAGTTCCTCAAAATGGTCTCTGTAACTCACTCCAGGCAAGATATCCTTCCCAACATCTTGCAAAAGCTTCTCCATCTCACTGACCTAGAGAAGAAAAGAATGTAATGTGAGCTGTGTTGCATGGCTGAGTCAAAAATCTATTAACTAATGGAAAACAAGTCCACGAATTACATACCTCATGCCGAGGGATTCTTTGTCTGATATCATCAAAGAATTTTAAGCCAGTCCTTTGAGCATATGTAAGTGAGTCATCTTTCCGAAGGTCATCAAGAGTACGGTGTCCTTTATCATATAACTTAAGAGCAGTTGCAGGACCAACACCCCAAACTTCACCGAATAGGCTGACAGTCCGTACCTTCAAAATTATGCAAATCTATTATCAGGACATGCAATTGAATAATGCTTAAGAATGTAGTCCTAGCTCATAATTAGGTTACCTTTTCATCATTCTCAAAGTGTTCCAGTTTGGAAAGCTTCCCTGTTGTCACTATTTCATTAATCTGTGAATCAAATGATGAATGCAAAATCAATCTTTTCTTGGAACTTCTATGTTCAAATTCCATTTGGCCCATACTACAACTGTTCAGCATCATCTGGCACCTTTAGGTTTTATGCTATCAGCGAAAAATGGCAACAGTTCTTTCCAGTAAAAAAGACAAAGAAATTAAGCCCATCATATTATTATGAAACAGGAAGGAGTATTAGTTTCTTTTACATTGGAGTCCAAAATACACTTGACGGCTTGTTAAAATGTTGAAAGAGTTGCGCACTACACTAGCAATCACCAACAAACAGCAAGAAAAATGATAGAATGAGACATACATACATGGTCTTTCAAAGATTTCCCAATGGTGGGGAGGTTTTTAACTTGGTCGCCACTTTCTATTTTGAATGGCAGTTTCTCAATTACGGGAATGGCCTTGTAATAGCTAAATGATCTCCGGTCATCTCCCATGGCTTCAAGAGAAACATAAAATTTCACAACAATCAACAAAATGATGAGAACATTACTTTGTACAATGTGTCAATGTCCTTTACCTCTATATATGTTGATAAGTTTTCCGAAAATCTCAGTGATGTTCCTGTTGAGGTCTGGTGGAGCATATGTTGTGGGTTCCCCAGAAGAAGCTTCCTGGTTGTATGACTAATGAATTAGCATGCAAAGCAGAAAACCCCATCTATGCCAAAATGAGATAAAGCCCAGAACTGAGAAGTGAAGACTTTCAAGTTTGCACACTCCATGGATGAAAACTTGATTAGATATAAAGTTGCTTGCCAATGGGCAACAGGGTTGAATTCCAATTATTCAACAGACATAAGTACAATCTATAGCTCAAAGTTCATTAGAAATAATATTCTTCTTTTTTGATGGCTCACCGTGTATAAACTTTGACAAACTATAGAAGAATATGTGTGTCAAAATAAGCTAATTTAAGCTTTAGAGAAAAGATGGTTCAGGCACATTGGTTTATCAGGTCATGCTTATACCTCAATATCAAGAGACCCTACGGTGTCCTTGGTATCCCCAGAGCTAGTCTGGCTATGTGCAAGCTGGCCAGGCCCCTTTTGGACACCAGAACCATCATGCACATGTGTACTGGCGTCTTGATGCTCTCCGGTAGCTAGCTCTTTCTTCACACCCTGTCCACCAGTTCCTTTGTGATTCTCAGGATCCTCGGATGACATTTTGCTCCTCTTCGCGGGATTGGACGCGCCTGTACCTCCGGCACCAGCTGCCTTTTTGGGTTTAAATTCCTCTTCGTAGTTGATGGTGAACTTGTGCTCGGGCAGCCTCTCGCCAGACTTGAGGCATTCCTCCAGCCAATCGAAGGACACAACACTCTGCGATGAAAATCCAATGCTCGGGTGAATACAGGCACTCGCTGCAGCCTCTCAGAAGGCTTCCCATACTAGCAGGGATATTTGACACCCACATTACTTTGGCAAGTGCCCCAAAGGACTAATAGCAAAACTTTCACAGCTCAATGCAGATGCACGATTGCGCATAGGAGAGAGTGGAGAGACTAGGGTTATACGGAGCCGAAGGGGGCCGGAGAGAGCGGCTAGTATTACCCCCTGGAAACGGTGGAGCCAGTCGGCGGTGAGCTCCCGGAGCAGCGCCTTGGCGTCGGCGGCGAGCACGTGGTTGATCCTGGCGCCCTTGGCGTCGGCGTCCTTCTTCTCGAGCCGGCCCCCCATCTGCACCAGCTTCTGCTTCCACACCTGCGAGGGCCGCCGCCGCAATCCAAAAAAACCTAAGCAAGAATGGAAGGCGAATCGGAGGGGCGGCGGAAGGGGGGGAGAAGCGGCGACCTCGAGGCGGCGGGACTGCACGCCGTGGGGCACGAAGAAGGCGGAGACGCCGCGGAATATCCCCTCGGCGTCCCTCGGCGGCTCCGCCGGCTTCCGCTTCGGCGCCATCGGAGCTCTCCTCGCTCCCTCCCTCCCTCCGTCCGTCGCCGCTGGGGTTTTGAGGTTTTAGGTTGTTCTAGCACTTTTTCCTTATGGAAGGTTGTTCTGAATATCTATCTGGCCACAGCACATCTGCATGAGGGCATACATTGCTGCTGAGCTTCGAGTCTTCGACCACAGGACAGAGCAAACACTCAAATATCTATCTATCTAGCCATAGCACACAGGCAAAGCAATTCTGAAACAGCTCAGGTTCAGCAAGCACAAACAAATCTGAACCAAACTGTCATGTACATCATCTGATATACAACAAAAATATGAGCAACAAACCAAACCACACCAACAGAAATATCTGTCGTAGAAAGGTAAAAGACCACAATGCTGCCCTCCTCCTAATGTGGGGAGGGGCTTATTGCTTGTGAGTGAGTAAACCAAGTAAATACCCTCCCTATCCTTCTCTCTTTTCTCCCTCAAATTTTACAACTCAAGCATTGTACAGACAAAAACAAATAAAAATGGCACGCAAAACTATCAAACAACGGTAGTATCGATCCTTCTCCCGGTTAAAAACTGTTTACTGAAGCTCACTAACAGGGATGTCTGTGCTCGGCTAACCACTGTCCCGGTGAGCTCAGGCTGATGTGTTTGTCTCTGTGGCTGGTGAGGGTTTGTCGGTGGCCGAGTCCATGTCGTCGTGCGATGGCGCCTCGATGACAGCATCGTCGTGCGACGGCTTCTCGCTGGCTGCGCCTTCTTCCTCTTCCTCTGAAGGTTTGTCAGTGACTGGCTTCTCAAGAGACGTGATATCCTCTGATGACTTCACAGTGGCGTCTTCTTTCTCCTCCGATGGTTTCTCGATATCTGTTCTGTCGTTTGATGGCTCAGCACTGGCTTCATCTTCCACTGATGGTTTGTCGGTGACTGGCTCCTCAACAGCCATGCTGTCCTCTGATGGCTTATCAAGATCCACTCTCTCGTCTGATGGCTCAGCACCCACCTTGTCTTCCTCTGAAGGTTTGTCAGCGGTTGGTTTCTCAAGAGCCACGCTGTCCTCTACTGGCTTCATAGCATCATCTTTTTCCTCTGATGGCTTCTCGAGATCCACTGTGTTGTTTGATGGCTCAGCACTCACCTCATCTTCCTCCGAAGGATTCTTAAGAGCTGCATTGTCTTCTGCTGGCTCCACACCTACATCACCTTCATCTGATGGCTTCTCAGGAGTAACGGCATCCTCTGATGGCTTCTCGGGAGCTGAGCTGTCCTCTGATATCTCAACGATGGCCTCACCGACATATGTGGGTTCTTCGACAGATGTGGCGCTTTCTGGTGTTGTATCTAATGCAATGCTTTGAGGCAGTGTCTCATCAGAAATTTCACGCTGTGCAGGTTCCTCGGTGGCAGTGCTGATCTTTGGAGTGCTTTCAGGCAGTGTTTCAGTAGCTAAGCTACTTTCTGATGGATTATCAGTAACAACGTTAGTCTCAGTTTCGAGTGGCTTCTCAATAGATACATCCTTTTGAGGTTCCAATGGCTGATCAGTTAAATTACGAGGAGCTGCATCCATTTGACGTTCTGATCGCTCCTCAGGCTCTGATGGCTGTCCGGATGATTCAACAGCAGCTGCATCACCTTGAGACTCAGATAGCTTCTCAGTAGACACGTTACTTTGATGGACTACTGGTTCCTCCACTGATGCGTCACTTTGAGGTTCTGGTAGCTGCTCAGCCGACTGATCAGCAGTTGCATCTGTTTGTGGTTCTGATAACTTCACGGCAGCTGTGTCAAATTGAAGCTGCAATGACTCCTCAGCAATTGCATCACTACTAGGCTCTGTTTGATCCTTGTCATCTGCTTCATGCTGAGATTCCAATGGCTGCTCTGTAGATGCATCTTTTTGTTGTTGCAATGGTTGCTCCACTGGAACCTCTGCCGGTGCAACACTTTGAGATTCTGATGACTGCTCAATGCCTGCATCATTTTTAGATTCCATTATCTGGTCAGTTGCCTCTTGAGGAACCACAGCGTCTTGGGATTCCAACGTCTGCTCAACAGTTAGCTTACTTTGAGACTCTGACAAGTTCTCACCAGATGCAGCCCCATCTTGCTCTGATGGATCCTTCGTCAGTTCGGCAGAAGAGGCATCAATTTGAGGCTCTGGTATCTTCTTGAGGGAGACATCATCTTGTGTCATCAGGTCCCTTTGTGGTGTAGCATCAGCAATATCTTCACTTTGAAGTTGTTTCTCAACAATATCTTCAGTCTGAAGTTGCTCCTTGGAAGATTCATTCATTTGTAATGGCTTCTCTTGAGAACTTTCTTGTGATGGCTTCCCGGTGATCGAAGCTTTTCGAGGTGCCTTTTCTTGAGAACTTCCTTGTGATGGCTTCTCGGCGGTTGCAGCAATTTGAGGTGTCTTTGCCTCAGATGGCTTCTCTTGAGAACTTTCTTGTGATGGCTTCTCGATGATCGCAGCAGTTTGAGGTGCCTTTTCTTGAGATGGCTTCTCTTGAGAACTTTCTTCCGATCGCTTCTTGGTGATCACAGTGACTTGAGGTGTCTTTTCTTGTAATGGTTTCTCTTGAGAACTTTCTTGTGATGGCTTCTCGATCACTGCCTTGGTTTGCAATGCTTTATTGGTAGCCATATCACTCGCTGCCAGATTTTTTGGAGTTGTACTTCTTTGCCATGACTTCTTCACAGCCATGTTGCTCGGGGCTGGCTTCGTGACGGTCACATTGCTTTGTGTTGTTGTCACAGCTGCTGCTGCACTGCTTTGTGATGGCTTCTCAAACGGCATGTTACGCTTCCACTGCCGTTTGATCGCTCCAGTACTTTCAGTTTTCTTTGCATCAACTACACTACTCTGGGGTTGCTTCTCGGTTCTCGTGTTGAATTGCCATGGCTTTTTCACTACTACTGCAGTGTCCTCCGAAGGCTTCACATCATCTGCATTAGTTTGTTGAGGTTCCTCACTGGGCTGCTGTAGCACAGCTGCATTAGTTTGTTGAGGTTCCTCACTGGGCTGCTGTAGCACAGCTGCATCGGTTTGTGGAGGTTCCTCACTGGGCTGCTGTAGAACAGTAACCACTGTACTGGTTTCCACTGGTTTCATATCAACCTCACTGCTCTGCAGAGATTTCTCACTGGCTATTCTGCGGCCCCATGGTCTTTTAATTGTTGTGCTCCTATCTAATGGCTTTGTGTCACTCGTCGGTGACGGCTTCTCGGTTGGTCCACTGTTTTGTTTCTGGTTCTCAGCAACCACAGGGCGTTGCCATGTTTTTTTGACCACTTTGCCGCTTTCTGATGGCTTCACATCATCTGCACTGGTTGATGCTGGCTTATCCGATGGTAACATGCTCTGCTGTGGGTTCTCAGTAGCTACACTGTGCTGCCATGACTTTTTTACCCCTGTGCTGCTGTCCGACGGTTTCCCATTAGACCCATTACTGGATGACGGCTTCTCAATGGCTGCATCGCTCGGTGATGGCTTTTCAGTTGATGCACTAATCACTGACGGCTTATTTGTGGGAAGACTGCGTTGCCATGGTTTTCTTATGGCCGCACTGCTTCCTGATGGCTTAGTATCAACCACACTGCTCTGATGTGGCTTCTCGGCACTGCTTTCAAATGGCTTATTGTTAACTACAGGACTCTTTGACTCACTCTCAGTAACACTTTCACTTTCTGCTGACTTCTCGACTGTGCTTTCTGATGGTTTAGGAACATCAATGCTACTCTGCAATGGGTTTTCAGCTGCAACATCATTTTGGGATGGTTTGTCAGCTGTGAGCTCATTTTCTGAGGTCTTCTCACCGATTTCATCACCTTGACCTGGCTTGTTGGTGGCTTCTCCAGTTTCTGGTAGTTTCTCGACAGCCACTTTTGCATTTACAGTGTTCTCCTCGAACTGACTGAAGTTTCCCTTGACCATAAACAACTGAGAATGGTGGGTCTTGCAATAAAGTTTGCCTTCATGCGTGACATTGTTGGATGGGCTGAGTGTACAACCACCATGGGTGCAACGGAAGCATGATTTATGATACGCGCCCCCGTTAAGATCAACCTGAAAGAAATTAGTTGAATCAAAAACAAGTTCAATAAGGTAAATACAGGAAGTGATAGAATGAGAAAGGAAAGACATTCAAAGAAAAAATATTGCTAAAAATGCAAACATTATAGGCATTTATTGGATCTGCCATAGATGCTGATGATAATTAGATGTCACTTCTGCAGCTGTGCACTATGTTATAAGAAGGCGTTAAAGACCCAACACATACTATTGGATTGGTATAACATCTCTTCACCAAAAAAAAAATGATTTGGCTCGTGGGCGAGATATTGATTAGTTCTTTTTTCCTCCCTGCTACTCCCTCCGTAAACTAATATAAGGTTTACAGAGGGAGTACTTGCAAGTGGGATTAGAGAACTGCATTAGATGTGGGAATCTGCCAGATCGTAATTCTAATAATAAACATGACACGTTTTATTACATTTGCAATTGCCATGAAACTAGTCTTGTCATGAATTATGAAAATTTTAGCAAGATGACAGGACAAACGACAATTCTTCTGTACAACTTACAGACACAGTAACTCCGGCCATTATAGAGAGAACCAAATACACAGAATACTTATTTTTCTGGGCAGTTGATGGTTTAATGTGCATTAAAGTAGCAGCCAAAGATTAAATAATACTGACCTTTTCAAGAGGGTACACAGTCTTGTTACAAACTACGCACTTGTCTTGCGTGCCAACAAACATACTAGAGAATCTGCTGTTTTGCTGGCCCTGCATTTTGGAAAAATATCAAGGAGGAAATGGACATACTGTTGTGTATATCGCAACATAAGACAAACAATTTCAATACTACGAATATGCTTCAACCACACAAAAGGCGTGTCCTACAGAAGCTCAATACCTTGGGTCCATTTGATTTTTCTGATTTAGCTGATCTTGTCACACCTGACATAATACAGAATTGCTCCCAAATTTAGAGAATAGTATGA